TCTAGATGAATGTCTTAATTAGATAACTACTAAATAATTTGATGATGGCATAGAAGATATTTCTTTCATTATGTCAACGAGTATATACATAAATTAAAATATTTTCTTAAGTAAACTAATACATTATTTCGTTGATCAAATGATATCATAAAATGACACCTTTTTGCCCAAAGAATTATCAACTAATACATGTAAATAATACATATTGAAACAATTTTTCCCATGTCAACATCGTCCTAAGTTTTCTTCTCTTGATTGCAAGAAGAAAATCAATACATCATCAGGTACTATAAATGACATCGCCATATTCTAATGTGGGAAACCAAGAAAGATGCAAATGTCTTCTTCCTTAGTGCCTCAAATCAAACAAGATGATGAGATAAGCACAGAGAAATATACTAGTTTGGCGTGGATTTCCAAAGAGAAGACAAGTAAGCAATTTTGTCACCTCAAAATATAACCTTTAAGAGTATTGATAATACAAATAATAGAAAATATGTAAGGGATAAGAAAATAGGAGCTCTTATAGTAAAAAAGTTTATAAGCTGCTTTTAATGCTGCATAAGATTTACCTTTTTTATGTATTTAGCAATAGCTTAAATATTTTAACCTGTTAGATCAAATGTAAGATGTGCATGCATAATCAATTTACCTCAAGGCTCTCTAATTTCCTCTTTGCTCTTTTGTGGGGTCAACTATGCAAACTTATTAATAACACCCTCAAATTTGCTGGTAAGAAACATTTGTCATATAGAATTATACAAAAAATAACTTGCATCTTAATAAAAAGAATATAAATAACCAAAAGCTATGAGGAAAAGAAAGGAAAATATGAAGAAAAAAAAAAGAAAGAAAAGCAAGTTAGGATGTAAAAGGTATCTCATCATAAACTCCTAAGAGCTGCTATCAGCTTGCACCTATTAAACAAAGAGTTTCTTACCTAAATTCTCTCCATATGTACTGGGGCATGAGCTTTTACTGCATCTATTATTGCATTTGAGATTCTTATTAAAAGAGTTCATGGAGTGGGCTATTTACCATTAAGCTAATATACCAACCTACATACATCACTTTCCCATTATAAACTTGCCCTTCATCTTAAATGTTCCATTAGCCCTACTACCAAGTAACCAAGACTCCTTCCCTATTTTCACCAACCAAATTACATTGAATACCCATAAAAAACTTCTTAGTGTTGTTGTCATCCAATCACCAATTAAACAACTAGTTTCTAAAATGAGTTCTCTTTATACGTACAAGATCATGTGTGTTTTACTACATCTACTATTACATGTGTTGTACTGCATCTATTACTGCATGAAGTTTTATTGCATCTATTGGTGCATTTTGGATGCTTCTAAAGAAATTCATGGAAAGGAAAATGACTGCTAAAACTTAACCAAACACAAGTTGTTCACTATTTCTCATTAAGCTAATATATTGAATTGTTGGTATATCTAGCTACATTTAGAAATATATATACATCACTCTCTTATGTTAAGCATGTCCTTCAGTTTAAATGTCATATTAGTCCTTTTTTCAAGAAACTAATACTCATACCTTATTTTCACTAATCTAATTATATTGAATACCACTAATCACTCTAATCAATTTCATATCATTCCTTCTACTTTACTCTAGTATTTAGGATAATTCAAATTATTTAACCATATCTAAAATAACATATGATTATTTTTCAATGTATTATGGAGCTTTCTGAAAAAATAATTTGAAATGTATTTCAGATACATGGAACCATTTCTCCCTAAAAAATTGAATCATATCGTCAAGCTACATGACAGAAGTTCTGATTTTAATAGGTTGTCAAATCTAAATGCAAATACAAAGAGTATGTCCACAAACATGCATGTGCTCATCGAGGCATAACGTTGATTTTCCCGTTAGCGAGAACATGAGAAGTAAAATGTCAACGTCGCACACTATGGATTGCTCCTTGGCCATCTTCAAGATACCTGTTTTATGGTTCGAGTAGGTAATTTGACCCACACTCATAGTCTCCAATTGCTTGATTCTAAGCATCACCCTCTCATCTTGCGATTAGTTTTACGGCATCCAAATCAAAATTGCTAAAAACTGTTGGTTAATCCTTTGTGATACCAATAAGAAACAAAGCAATCATTCCATCATAGCCATTAATACGTCAAGGAAAGCCTGAACTTCTTCAAATTGTGGAAGATAGTGGATCGACAAATTCAGAGGGAAGATAAAACACAAAAAGTGATCGCGTTGACAACTAGGAGGTCACTTGGGGGCGTAAAGAGTACTTGATGTGGGTGGAAGAGATTATATACTCAAATGAGGAAATAAAACAACACATTTAAATTGCATAATGTGATATGCATAATGTTATTTTATAAATCTGTCCAAAATATGAATGAGGGGAGAGGATATATATATATATATATATATATACCCCCCATTGCCGCCGGCCTCCCCATTGGATCCACCTAAATTATGATGATTTCAATCATCATAATTCTCTTCCTAAATTAGCTCCAAGGGAAAAGGAAAGTAATTGCCCTAATTTGAAATTTGAAATTCAAATACTTTCTTTATTTAAATCTTAATTAGGAAAGTGTAGACAATCAATCCTATTTGAAATTCAAACCAAATTGGATTTCTTATTGCCTTTCCTAATTCCCATGAGTTGTTTTGGAAACTCTTAAATTTCTCCCTCCTATTGATGCTGCCACCCCCTTCATTGGGCTTTTCTTTTGTTGTTTCCTCTTTGAGCCCTCACCCTATTTGAATTTGAAATCAAATTTCAAATTTAATTCCCTCCAAATCCACTTAAATCTAAATTAATTTTAGATTTACTAAAACTTTCTTTCCTGTCCTCTAAACTAACCTAATTCCCTCTCTCCACCCTTGGCCTCCCTCTCCACTTGCATCATCTCCCTTGGAAAACCTAAAACCCTTATGTTGTTTGAAGCTAAGAGAAGAAGACATGTTATTTCCTCCCTTTTACCATTGGTGTATGGTCGATCCTGAGGTCGACCACGTATTTGTCTTCGACGAGCAAGGACGAATGGATATTCTTGGATCCCCGTTCTTTGGTGTGTACTTTGGCAACGAAGAGATCGTTGACGAATACATCAAACGTATCCTATACCAACTCACACTATCAATCGAAGAGCACATCCGTCCGGGCCATTGGATAATCGTCGGTCATCCACAACTCCCTCCACCCTCGGCTACCTCTCCATCAACGAAGGTCTTCGGTACCATCTTCCTAGTGGTAATCTCTTTCCTCATGTGCTTCGTCCTCCTCCGCTAAAGCCTAAGAGTGATTGAGTGAGAAGGAACTCTTAGTGACTATATCTTGATGTTACGCCATGAATTCTTGTTTGTTTGCTATTAGTGCTACTATCTTGTTTTCGTTGTTATTGCGATTGTTTTGCTAATCTCTTGTAACAGCTTTCCATTACTTAATCTTTTAACGAAAGTTCTAAGAATTTAACTTGGGTGAAACCTAAGTTACTAATTAGCAATGTTCATGTTCAATAATTATTGTTACAATCCAAAGCAACTCTTCCGCATGTATGTTTCACATCGTATTTGGTATCAGAACATGGTAAGCATGTATTTCATGTGTTAGAAGTTCATGGAGTCTAGTTAACCTTTCCAAAACTCGTTTGCATGCATACCATTGCCTAGTTAATTTAGTTCACTGTTTTTCCTTGTTGTCCATTAAATTCCTGCACCGTTTACATCACTTTAGGTAAGTATATTTCATTGTTTAAGTGTTGTTCTTATCACAATAACATCCCTAATTGTCTAGGTTACTAAAACAATCATTATAGTTTGCTGTCCAAAGTCTTCCTGCACCAATTAGTTGCCTTTAGGTGAGTCTAAGCTAGTGTTTAGGTGATGTTCACACTATAGAAACCTTCCAAAACACTTAAACAACTTAGGTCTTTGTTGTAGCTTGCTGTTCTGATCATCCCTGCATTATTTAGAGGCATTATGAGCATATTATCTTAGTGTCTAGGTGTTGTCCCTTACCCCATTACCTCCCTAGCGCACCCTAACACCTACCCCTGGATCCGGAACATATTCAAGCGACTTTAGACCTCATCGTGGGACAACTTGGGACGGTTACTCAGCAAATTAGGAACACCCAAAAATTTAGCGAACTTTAGACGCCAAACTGGTGAACGCCTAGATAACATTGAACGTTTAGGAAACCCGGCAATCTACACACATTCAAGACCTCAGTACCCTTATGCCGAGGAGGCTCGTGCTGATTATGGACCTCCCAGAGACTACTATCGTACCAACAAAGTCCCCATCACGAGCCCACTAGACAAAACCCCACTTGGGAAGGTAACGATGCCCAACTGTTGAAAAACATTCAGATTGACGCCCCATCCTTCGATGGCATCCTAGACCCCCTAAGTTTTCTGAGACTGGCTTAAGTGTATGTATAGCTATTTCAAATGGTATAACATTTCGGAGGCCTGAAAGGTTAGGTTTGCAGAAATGAAATTAACCGGTAGAGCCAGTCAGTACTGGATTAATCTCGAACACATGCGCGAAACTCGAGGGGAATACCCCATTACTGATTGGAGGACGATGAAGCAAGAACTGAAACAGAAATACCTCCCTTCGTCATACTATCCTAGATTTTTGGGCCATTGGAATAGATTGACCTAGGGTAGCAAACCAGTAAAAGAGTATATCTCTACCCTTGATGACTTTATGATCCGTTGTAGTGGTGAAGAGACTACCACGCTAGCCCAACTTCTATCTATATTTAGAGCCGGGTTGAGGAAAGATCTTAGGAATGAACTTAGTCCGTCACACACTTCTTATGTTGTGTTGTTTACGTTTTGACTTCAGTCTTATTTGAGATGGCTTAATTTCTTCTTTTCAATTTTGAAATGAAAGAATTTTTTTTTTTTAAATATTATTTGTATGTATTCACATTTTTTAAAAATAGTTTTAAAAAATATATATTTTTATACTGTTTTCAAAAAAAATTTCTTATGTTAACTTACACTTCAGAAAACTCTCTTCTCTCGAAGCAACCTCCTTTCCGATGACCTCCAGCCGGAGCTCGGCGTGGTGGAGAAGTTGACAGAAGCCGGTTCCATACCTTTCGTGGTGGGTAAATTTTGCAAACTGCTTTTCTCATTCATCATCGCTCCTTCCAGTTCCGTCTCTTCACTGATTTTCGTCGAGCAATACCCTAGTTGTGTTTTACATTTTTTGTCCAAAATCTAGTGCTTGGGAGGACTCGGTCGAGGCTACGGCGATGTTCTCGGTCCGCGACCGCCTCTTCTTCGGCAACATCAGCGCCGCCGCCGAGGTTCTTCAGAGCGGCAGCGCAGAGATCACTCACGTCCTCTCCTTGCTGAGCTCCGCTTCTATCTCCTTCTTCTCGGACTGGCGCGCAGAAGTTTTGATATCCACCCAGGAGGTGCGGAAGGTCTTCGCGGGAGAGGCCGGCCATGGCTTGGCCAAGAATTCCCTGTCACCGGAGAAGCTCCTCTACGTGCTAGAGCTCGCCGGCCCGGGCCTCAAGCTTGTGAGAATGGCGGTGCCTCTACGGGACACGGAAGATGAGAACTTACTGGATTATTTGGACGTTTGCCTTGACTTTATAGACCGGGGGCGGAAAGAAGGGGCCGTCTTGGTGCATTGCTTTGCGGGAGTTTCAAGAAGGTAACGATCATGATGAGCTCCTGATATATAGTTCTGGATTTTTTTGTTGTATTGATTCTCAATTTTCTATATATATAGGCAGTGGAACTGTTGAAGTTATGCTTAACTTAATCTTATGTTTCATTATTGATAACCTTCATAATCTGCTTCTATTCCTTCTACAATTGCAACCTATAATTTTTTTTCTTATGCTTAACTTGATCTTTTTTATTTTGTGTTTGAGCTGGAATTTTGTGTTTCTATCAATCACAGTCGGAACCTTAGGATTGCGTTTTCTATTGCATTCTATAGGATTGCGTTTTCTATTGCATTCTTGTGGACTACATGAAAGGGAGTAAATTGGAGGGCTACCTTTCTAATAAAGTATTATATTTTGGTAACGTGGTTGTAGCATTGGTTCATGTCATTAACGAGGCAAGAACAAACGGTCGGACAGGTTCGGGATATTACACAGAAAAAATTTGATATACAAAAGATGATAGAATCGTCAGTTTCAGCTCTAACACAAAATCAACTAAGGCAGAATATTCGACCACAAGTTTATTCTTTTAACTTATCAGCAGCCTAATGAAACTATAGATGTTGAAAAAGATAAGTGAGATATCTTTAAGATCTAATATAGTCACTTGTTATATTATATATGGTATTTTGTTTTATTTACTTATGTATTTGATGTTAAAATTATATTGAATAAAGTTCAAGATGACATTTTGCTTAAGTATGGAGTAATTATGTTCAATAACTAGAAGTTATAAGTAAATTTTGAGGATAAAATTTTTGTAAGTGGGGAAGATTGTAATATACTGAACCCGTTCGACTGTTTGTTCTTGCATCGTTAATTCAAGTCTCTGGGCCGGGTCGTGACAATTCAAAAGGCTGCATCTCTTTACTATTAATTTTTTTTTTTTGTGATCTAGATGCTGCTTTTGAACTGATGCATGCATTTTAGGTTTTTTTTTTTTTTTTCGTTTATTCTTCTGCTTTTCTTTATGTGCAGGAAATGTGAAGTTAAGCTGTGTTAAGTAAATAACATGAAAGATAGTTATGAAGGAGGATTTATGCTTAAAATCATGATAATTGCAATTTTTTTTTCTAATAATGTGAAAGGCTGCCTTGTTTTTGTTGATTGAGTTACTTGATGCAAAAAATGGGATGGATTGTAGTGCTATATTTGGTTTTGTATTCATTAAACCTGCTAGTAAGCTTTAATGTGATGAGTGATGACATTTTGTCTGCCTTCAAAACATACATGCACTGTTAATATCACACGTGGCAATTGTTTCAGTTGTATCTCTTGCTGAAATATTGAAGTATTGTTAATTTTGTTTCCTGAATTGAGGCTGCTATCTTCAAGATGTCCTGATAGCTTTTTTTGTTCTTTTATCTGCTACGTCTTCTCCACCTCTGATTTTTTGCATTCTTGTGTTTCCTGCAGTGCTGCTATCATCACGGCATATCTGATGAGATCAGAACAAAGATCTCAAGAAGGTTTGAAGAAATCCTTTTATTTTCTGATGACCATATAAAATGAAAGCAGAATTCTTTGCTTTTGGAGATGTATCTGGTTATCGATTGCAATCATCGTTAATGAAAGTGCATTCTTGAAATTATTTAGCGTACATTTCAGATATATGTTATATTCTTGTTTTTCCTGTACTGGGTTGTTGTGTTCCAGATGCCCTTGAATCTCTGCGGCAATCTTGTGAGTTTGTTTGCCCAAATGATGGTTTTCTTGAACAGGTATTTTGAGTTTTAGATTTTGTATTGGTGATGTAACCGCCCATGTTAAGTAGAATTTTGACCGACTCTTCCTTGCTGTACTGCAGTTAAAGCTGTTTGAGGAAATGGGCTTTAAAGTAGATACTGCTAGCCCCCTGTACAAGCGGTTTCGCTTAAAGGTATTGGGTAAGTTTCTTGATAACAGATTTATATCTTTATGAGATTTTAATTGGCACTACTTCTCTTGTTTTGTAGCCTTTTATCCTTTGTAGCTTGTTTGACTGGCATTTACATAAACTCAGATGCGTTAAAATTTTCTCAAGATGCCATCACGGGTAGAGTATATATACTTCGCTGTTGAGTTTTCAATAAAACCACACTCAAGCATATTAAGCCTTCACAAGCTTTCATGAAACTTTTAATTTTGTGCCTTTATTTAGAGAAAAGATACTTGGAAGGACTTGACAGTAAATACTCGTGTTTAACTTATGCTATCACAATCAAATACTAAAGTTAATCTTTAATATAATACTAGTGCTGTACTGCCAGCCCAAAAAGTAAAGATATGAGCTCTTTTCATCTCATAAATCCAAACTGACCTGCTTGGGTTGTTTTCATGAAGCGTAATTTGGTCTATCTCAATTAGATATTTAAATTGTCAGGTTTTGCATATTTAGGTTGACTAAAGATAGAAAATTATGTGTTAGTGGAGCAAAAAAATTAGTATATAATATGAATTTTAGTTGATTTGATATTAATAACTATCAATCAATACAACTAGAAGATAAAGTGATGTTTAGGTGTGATGAATTCAAATATCTTGGATTTATCATACAAAAGATTGGGGATATAGCTTTTATATTTAAGTTTGAATGGTTAAAATGGAAAAATGCTTTGACAATATCATGTGATAAGTGACTATAATGTAGATTTAATGGTAAATTGAATAAAATTACAATTTTTGGTTTGCTATGTTGTATGTTTTCTAGTTTTTGGTAGTAAAAAATTTACCAATGGCCAAGTTGGATGTTACAAAGACAAAAATGTTAAGATGAATGTTTTGGAAACTATTAATAATATATTAATGAATGATTTTAACAGATGAAGTTTAAAGGTATCATCTTTTAAGGATAAGTTAGTGGATAGTATACTTAGATAGTTTGGACTTACACAATGAAGGTTATAGAATGCACCAAGATGTTGGGGGGATAAATTATTGCCAAAGACTAGGAAGTTAGAGGGGTAGACCAAAGTTAACTGCCGACTTTAAATGTTTCTGGTTCTTACAAACTTGAATATGATACTTTCAGGTTGCATATTTCACTTTTCACAGAGATTTTACATTCATTTGAAGACTTTATATTTCCTAATTTAAGGTGTTTCATAGAGCATGCTTCCGTGGTTTATTAACTCTTGTGATCACAAGAGAGAACTATTGGTTAAGGCTAATTTTCAAGCGCTAAAAATGTTTGTTTTCATGACCTTCCTGATTGCCCAACTACTTGTAATGATTTGGGGATATATGTTGCCTATATGCTCTTAGAGGAGTTGATGGGAGGAATGATGAAAAACTTTGTAAATATCCCATGGTTCTATCATTCTTGGTTTATTTAGTTTGAGATGGTAATCGATGTATCTTGACTTAAGTAGTCTTGTTTTCATCTATTGGTTTCTTCATCCAAGAGGATTTTATAAACCAAGTGGGGAAAGGTTTGCTAAAGTGGGCCAACTTCATGATCGAACTTTGCTTAGAGAGGTTTACATGCTCTAATGAGTATGGTATATATGACTCAACTTATAAAATTGGCACGGTTAGTGATATCCAACCTCTCTCTCCCTCTTTGTCCGGTTACGATGGATCAAGGGAATATTTTAGGCATGATTACCTAATTCAAAAGGGACTTCTTAAGTCCTTACTTGAATCAGATTTCAGAGTGTGATTATATGGCCGCATTGATAGGACATTAAATCCATTGTGAGCTCTTGTTGAACTTTGAATTTGTCAAATTTTGCTAGCTTGAGGGCAGGCGAGGAATTGCAATGAGGATGTAGCAAGTCATTGCTTTTGACGATTTTTTTTGTATTTTTAATTTATTTTATTTTTATATTTTTGGTTTTTGTGGGGATTGGTGAAGACTTGTTGGGAACGCTAGATCTCTACAATCGAGACATGAAATTGATTTTTTGGGGGCTGGTAGCGCTTCAAAACAAAGTATTCATGCTTTTTTCTTGAACTTGAGGAGCTTCAATAATGATGGTGATCCCTTTTGGTTATGGTGATGACCCTATCATTCCTCAAAGATGGTTCTTTTTTTATTTGGGGCTTTTGAAGAAGACCTTTGTTAAATTAGTATTTTTGACTCAAGAATAAGCTTCTTGAACCATTAGGGAGTTTTCTTCAGTATGCCTTATGGGTACTTGTCAAAGTGGAGAATTAACAAAATTCCAGTTCGACTTTTTAGCTTGTCGGGTGCTTCTGGCTTGGTCATCTTATATCGTTTTGAACAAGAGGGGTTCTAAGTGACTCAATTGTTCTTATAGCATGTTGAGTTTATCCATAGAATTCACCCTTTTACCATTTGAATTGAGAATTCTTTCACCTCTTTATTTCAGCTTACCGATTCTTTATGAACTTGGAATTTCTTTGCTCGATTATTGCAGTTTTTGACTTGCTAGAGAGATTGATTCTTGAGAACCTCAGATAAAGAACATACCTTGTAATTGCATCTAGGAATTTTGTCTTTGAGAACCTCAGATGCCAATGCCATGGTGTTGGTTCCTTTATATGAGATTGATCTTTGATTATGGTGTCATCAAGAACTGAGCCCTTGAAAATTTATTATTGAATTTGATGGTGCTGACTTTGTATTTTTGGAGGCCATGTTATCTTTGATTTGAGTTGGAGACAAATAGCCGTGTCATCGATTTTATGAACAAAATCTGCTATATTTTTCAATAATTATATTACTATAATTAAGGTGAGTGAGATTTAGAGAGTAAATTTTTTTGAATTTGAGTCTAGATTTTTATGTGAGTGGATCAATTATGTTATTATCTTTTAATAAATGCGCCATCATTTGGAAATGGATCCTTGGTGAGTATTTTTTAAGTTTTTGGACAAAGAAGATGTCAGGGACCTCTTTGGCTATTGTATTTTGATAACCATGCTCATCATTAGGGATTGAAGCCTTGGAGCAAGTATTTTGAATTTGTGGGCTTTGGAGCGTTTTTTTAATGATTTGCTGATAATCATGCCCATCAATGGAGTGAGTTCTCTACTATTCATTTTTTAGAGGTGCCATTTTACTTTTATATTTTGCTTTGTGATTATGTATTGGGGGTGTTGATGTTGGCAAAGTTGTGAGTTGGAACACTGTAACACCCCACACTACCCCTTACTAGTAAGATAGTGGTACAAAAATAACATCACATTCATTCTTTCCTTTTAATTATTTCTCATAACTTGAATACTTATATATAAAATTAACTGATAATCACATTTTGATAATAAACGGAAGCATTTTATTAATCTAAACTTCATCACATAAATATTTATAGAGCTACTAAAAAATTCAAAATATTATAACACTTAACAGTCTACATACCTCAGATGTAGACTCACATACAATGTTAAACATTAGATTATAAGTGAAATAAATTTAAATCTATTATGCTTCAACTTTTTTTTTCCTTTTCTAATAACAATAGCCAGTAAAAATAACTTGTGAGCTATGAGGCTTAATAAGTTGTGCAATTTACATAAAATTTAACTGCCAAATTACAAAGAATAACATAATTGAATTAATTCAAAAATACTTGCAAAACAACACACAATAATCTTTAGTATCATCCTTTCATTTATTTGAAGTCTGTACAAAATATAAATATTAGTTTTTAAAGATTTAGCTAAACTTTCTTTAAAAGATTTAATGGACCCTAGGTAAATTTGACATTATCATCATTAAACTATATAGAGGTATCTTTTGCCTCTTTAGGAGTCCCTTTTGCCCCACCTGTTATGCAGGTATCATATCTTTTGTGTCCCTTTTGCCCCACCTATAATGCATGTATTATACTTGGGGACCCTTTTTTCCCACATGCAATTGTGAGTTTCATATCATTTTATAGCCAATCTTTACTAATTTGATCTTCAATAAACTTCACATATCCATATTTCATACTTGTATTGTATGGTTGCATATTTCCATAATAACATATCTGTGTTACTGTTTGCATCAAGAGAATGGGTTTGTAGTATGTACAATATGGTACTTCTTTTCAAAATGTTATCAACTAGAAAAATCTTTAAACATTCATGTTACATTTTATTCTAAATTTGATTCATTCAAATTTGCAAGTGGTTGCTCATTTATGAACACTTGATTGTAAACATGTATTAATAACATCATTCTTTTTTTATAACTATGTTCCTAAATTTCTGTTAAATGCTAGTGTACATGTCTGCAAAAATAATAGTATATACTTTTAAATTTAAACTTGCATTACTTACCTCCTTGAAAATTTGACTCAATTCCTCTACCTCTACATCTTTTTCTTTTGTAAGTAACCTCGAACCACACAATTAATAACTTTTTCTTTAGAAACTTGCATTTACCTTTGAAAACAATCACTTTAAACAACCAATTTGCTTACCTTGATTTCTTCCTTCAATATTTCCTTTGTTTCTTACTCCACATAATTTTTTTCGGATCTTTCACAACCACTAATCTTTCAATGCAAATGCTTTTGTACGGTTATAACATTCACACCAAACTACAATTCTTCACACAGTTCCAATCAATCCTTCACACTCAATCTTTGATATAGTTTTCAAATAATCTCAATTTCACTACATCGCTATTACCTACACTACCGAGCATTGCAGTGTGATGTGAATTGCTACAGTCTTCACAAGATGTTCATCCGGCCATTCACAACAACAGTCCTGTATCCTTCCTCTCGAGCAATGTGCCGATTATCTCTTCCCATAACCATGCCGCCCTCTTTAGCAACTAAACTCTTTAATGCAGAAGCCGAACTTTACCTTATAGCACTATGCCGTGTTTTCCCCTGCACTGTGTCGAACAACACAGAGAAACCCTTTGTCTGCGTTAAATCCGAACAAAATAAAAGAGAGTGGGGCCCAACACTATAACTGATTGCTAAACTTCTCATCCAATATAAGC